GCACGAGAAGTGCAAAAACGCATAATCGCACCGGCCCGCCTGGTGCGTTCCAGCCTGGGTTTATTAGCATGCGCTATCCAGGTTCGCTTTACAACGACATTGGTTATAATAGACTTATTAACAATAATGAATGGCGATTATTCAGACAAGTGACGCCTATCCCTACAGTAAATATGGTTTTTAGATATGATGCTCCACTTAGTAAATCAATTTTTGATTATGCATCTTGTTACAAAATCTTGACGATAACTTCGATGATAATTACGATTTAGAGAATTTCCTGGCTTCTTTGCCCTGCCAGTGCTTAAATTCTAACTTTATATATGCACCTGCAGGACATATAGTAACTGGAGATTCTAACGTAACTCCTAATAACTTATTACAATCATTATTGAACCGAGGCTGTAAGTTTCGTATACAACATAATCTAAGTCTAGACCATATACAGAGTAATTCTAAGGTGGCATTTAGCCGATTTATTTCCCTACTTAGTGATACGCAACAAATTCCTCAATCCAATATATCAAACTATAAGAGAAAAATCCTTAAAAAATTTTCGTGCTTCACTTCTAGTTGTTATACCAGAAATAAGTTCATACTAGGTATTTTTAATAAAAATTCAATTATGCATAGTATTTATAAACTTCAACAACACTATATAATTACAGCTGTAGATAAGGCACCCAATAATTATGCTTTCATATGTAAGAGATATTATGCAAAGAGTTACATGTATTTGGTAACCAACACAACCGTTAACAACCTCACGTATAAACTGAATACACATACTGGATACACATTTTTCATTTGTCTGTGGATCACCTCAAATCCAAGAACAGGTACTGAGCAAGAAAAAAGTTTATTAATTCTGACATTATTAGCAAACATGAAAGGATACTGAATCGTTCTGGATTAAGTTTAGAGGATGAGCACAGTAGAGAGAGAGGAACTGAGATCAGCGGGCGGTAACATCGAGATCCGTTATTCTTTGCCCTCAGATCCACTATTCTTTAGCTTCAGTATTTCGGTCAACACTTCGTCGCATTCTCCAGTTGTCTGTGGAACACCTCAAATCCAAGAACAGGTACTGAGCAAGAAAAAATTTTATTAATTCAAAAAGGATAAAATTAAAATCACTATAACCCCCCAGTGTTCACTCTCTATAGGAGGCGGATGCGTCGGAAGGTTGCTGAATGGTAAAATGTGTCGGAAGCAAAGTTCTCTTTTTCTCGCGTTGCTCAGGAACTCTTAAAAATAATGTTCGATTT